CCGCCGCCATTGGCTAGAACACTACGATGCCTGCATGGAACCCAAGTCTGTGCCAAAGGCAGCTTGTAAGTCTCACAAACCACTGTCAGTATCTCCAAAATCTCGGCCAATGCGTTCTGCCGACCCTCATTGCAGATCTGGTAAGATAATTCAAAGGACATGGACATCAACAAGAGAAAGAAATGCAATAGATGTGACCAAGAAACAATCTTCAAAGTTTCTGAAAGAGCACTAGAGATTTTGACATGAACTCGTAGATAACCTGTGTGGTCTCGTGGCTCAATATTTCTGACGTTTTCAGATTCACCGCCTGCAAGATAACCAAAATGCTTATTTTCAAGAGGGCATCAAAGGAAACTGATAGGAATCAAGCAAGTGGAGAAAACGAACCTCAAGAGCTTTGCAGACCTTTTCAACCTCAGGTGCATAGTTAATCTTAGGCGAAGTCATTATCAGCTCAACCACTCCGACACAGAGCTGCATGTACGGTTCGAAAACAGGCAAAGCCAAGGTTCCCTGGACGTTATAGAGCAGAGCATGACCAAGCCGCGAGAACTCTTTGCTCGAGTAATACTGCACATTCGGAGTCCACTCAGGCAACTTTTTTCTGAAAACACGACCAGGAAGCCCAAGCTCTCCGTCCATTTCGCTGTCCACGGAAAACATGTACGTAAGAGAAACCATCCTGTATTGATTAAGCCCGTTACTATTGGGACCAAGAACAAATGGCTGTCCTGAAGTCGTAAGTACATAGCGGCCGCTGTTTTCGACAGGCGCCCAAACCTGAGCAAGAACATGTTGTCCGGTCGATTCCTTGAGGTATCTAAGCGCCTGACCCATCCTCGCTTTGATCGCGCAGTAACTATCCGGATTCTCGAGCGGCATCCTACCCCAAAATGGAGGAGCAATTCTATTGTCACTACTTTCTTTTGCGTTCTCAGTCTCTGAACTTGGCGTACCTACATTGATTCGAATCTGAGGACTTTAAATCTCAGTAATACCCTATGACAATGCACCTCCTGATTCAAATTCCAAGTCTAGATGCTCATTCGACCAGAAAGCCGGAAACGTATACAGAGATGGAAATGCCGCGAAGCTATCCAATCCAAATCAATTAAGAACGAGATGAAGTTTCATTTTCCAAGCTAAAATTGCAAAACAATGTGTAAGAGATTGAGGAGACTAACAAGCAAGCAAGACGGGGTGGTCCGGGAAGCGAGGAGGAGGTCCGGCAGCGGAGGCGGAGAAAAGAGTGGAGGCATCGCCGGAGGCGGTGTCGGAGAAGGACCAGAGAGGAGAGCAAGGCTGATCGGAGGAAGAGAAAAACAAGGGAGACCTGAGGGTGGAAGCGAACGTAACCTGGTCCAACGGCCAACAGTCGCCGAGATCCAGATCCTCCAGTTCCATCGAGAAGCAGAAGAAGGAGCAGCGTAACTTTCCCGCAGTTTCTAACTCAGAGTGATTTTGCGGGAAAAGCTCTCCAGAGGCAGAGATGGATCTCTATGGCTGGGAGAAGGAGAGGTTGGAACAAGAAGAGGGAGGGGACAAGTTGGGGAATAAAATAAGAAGACATTTGATTCCACGCTGTACCATCTTACCCCCAACCACTCCTCATTTCTCCTCCCCCACACAAATACACACTTCCATACATTTAAAAATATATAAAAACGATGATAAAATGTGAACATTCATTAGATTTGAATTCATATATTAATCATTTAAAATGCAGACGTTACATCCTTCTTCTACCTGATGAAAGCAGAACGTTGGTCAAAACATTTGTGTTATGTTGTGTAATGTTTAATGCTACACAATATATATATATATATATATATATATATATAATATGGTATTTCTAATTCTAGGTACTATGATACGGTGGACCGTACAAGGTTACAACATTCGGTTGGTTTCATTGAATTAAAATTAGATTGGTTGACCAAACCAAACCATCAGCCCCAAGTCCTAATGTTGTCTTGACAATTACACATGCACGAGAGACGTATAATTTAACTCATCAGATCTAGACCCACTGCCTATATAATATATGTATATATGGTATCTAACTTTAAGAAACTAATTAAGAAAAGAAAAAGAGGGGAGCCACTCAACCCAGGAAGTGGGACTTTAATTAATTCGATGGCAATGCATAATACATGATTACTTGCTAATCTTAATTTAATGCAAGTGGGGGTTTCATTAATTTATTCGTTTTACCCAACGCATCAATTCCTGCCCAAGGATAATGGGAGGGTACAGTGAAATGATTTTCTGTCTGGATAGACGTGTATGGTTTAGAACACTGTTTTTAAACTCTAATTCACAATTTTTATATTACCCGGTCCATAAACTTTTCTGGGTCCACCCATGAACACGATAATTATACAATAAGCGCGTCATTTGGTTCCGGGCTCCTTTTAATTATAAACATTAAGTTTAGAAAGGAGAGTATATCCTTCAAAATGTAATTATTTATGTGGTTGACAAGAGATATTATTATTATTATTATTAATATTAATATTAGTTGAGTACACGGGCAAAACCAAAACCTGCATGTAGTGGAGGGAGAGACAACAAGAAAGGGTTTCACAAAATAAAACACACATAGGCCCACTTGTTCAAGCTGTTATTTTTTTTTTTTCTGGCGAAGTTGCTTTCTGTTTGACAATGGGCTCTTCTTTGTACGAGTCCAGGATAACTTTATCCCGCACCCGGGCCTCCCTTGTCCACATGGATGGAATGGAACCCATATCAGACACAGACAGCATAGCATATACGAAGCAAAAGCATTTTAGGGGGGAGAGAGAGCTCTTGTGAGATGCCAACGACGCCTTCATTTGGGACGGTTTATAGATTAATAAGTGCAGTGGTTGGTTCGCCTAATGTATATTTTTTAATAATTTAATCTAAAAACATACAAAATTCGTCAAACTGAGAGTTAAGAGACATTAAGGCTAAAGTTATGTTTGAGTGAGGAATATCAATAAACATGCCCTTAGTCAAATAAATGAAGCCAATGTTCTGGAAACTGGAAGCACCATCAAGAGTCATTTCGTATGCCACAGAAGAAATCCCACGCATACAAAAAATTGAGTGGCTGGATTCATTTTTGTTAAAAACACTTCTACTTGGGGGACAGATTACTTCTTTTTTTTTTTCACTCATACAGTCAAACAACGAAATCTGGATTTGCAACAAAGAGACAACGGGGAAGAACAGATCGATCTCATGGTAAGCACTAAGTAGTCGTGTCCAATTCCATCAATTGAAGGCACTTTTGAAGGAAATATGAGAGATATCAAAGTCAGGCCAAGTTCATAACCCAGAAGACCCAACCCAAAATGGTTTCAAAGGGAACAGATTTGCAAGAAGTCAAGGCAAATGAAGATAGAGAATTACCATTGAAACTGGACCTTAAACAATACGCTCCAACTCTCTCGCGTAGCTGAGTGTCTGGTTGATGAGTTGCAGAGACGGTATCTCCTTGCATGGCGCTGCTTCTTTGGCTTTCTGGAAAACCACAAACCCGTCTTTCGCTTCCCACTCAGGATGCTCCTGTAAGATTTCATACAACCCGTATCACAACATATACCGATCGATGATAACCATGAAAAAGATTCCCATGTTTGTTCTCATACCTCCTCGACATATGTTAAGAGTTCTTGATCAGAAGAGAACAGTAACATCTGCCGGGCATCACTGATTGAGAGAAAATCGTACGCTTTCTCACTGCATCCAGCTATTTCATCTCTACACATTTCACAGAAATTTGGAGAGATGAGATAACATAGGTGGATTTCGGGAGAGGTACTAAGAGATGGATTGGTTGGTGTTTATTTAATTACCTTATGGTCTTTGCCAAGAGATCCATGAAATACACGTAAGTTGCATCGGGTGCAGTCTGTCTAGCACTCAACACGCGGTTATAAGCGCCTTCCATGAATGATTGCTCAAGCTCTACTGCGTGTTTGATGCAAGGATTATCCAGCGCATCGGATGAAAGCAATTCCAGTTCCGTGTGGAATTCAGCAATTCTGTTCTGAACAAGCAGTCTCAGTAGGTTAAGACCCAGGATTAGGTTCTCCTGTGGAGATTGCGGAAGGCGGCTCCTGGTGCATAGAAAAGAAACTTTAGAAAAAAAATACAATACCATAATGATCGCAAGAACAATGAAGTACAATAGGACGGGGGTTCTTTTCACCTTGCATCCACATAGTATGGTTTCAACTGGAAGAAATCTCTCTCAAAAGCATCTTGATCCTCAGTTTTTACGCTTAGAACAACAGCATGCTCATAAATATCCCCTGAAAGTTTCCGGTTGTCAAGCAACACAGTCAGATAACCCCCACGGACAGAATGCATATGATTGCCAAACCATCAATTACTCCTTTCTTTTACTGATAAACCATTTCCAGGTCAACTAAGATTAGTAAAGTAAAAGGATACAAGACTTCAGTGATCGAAGCAGGCAGAGCATGTTTACAAGTGTTTAAGTGGTCTAGCCATGTTCAGAGCAATAGGCAAAAAAAAAAAAGATTCACATAACATGAACCTCCTTTCAGGTTTTACACTCTCCAAAGGTGCAAAAAAACTTCACCTATATGAGTCAGTGGCCACCGGCAACAAAAAACAGACAAACCCATGAATATCAAAGGGATTGATGTCAAAACAATCACTGGGAGAGAGAGTTGCTAGCAAGAATCGATGTCAAACCGATCATGAAAACAGACACTTACTAGCAATCATCAATTCCTGAGTTGCATTAGGTGTATTCTCAAACAATGGCGGTAGACTTCTGAATTTGGTTAGACGAACCTGAAAGATGTGGCAAAACTCATTCACATCAGAGCATTCACAAACCTCAGTCGGGGCTCAGAAATCTAAAGCAATCGCTTTTTCAGATTTACCACAGAACATAATCACCAACAAAAAACCTAGAAACCCCAAATGCAAACCTAAAAAATAAAAAATCAAAGTTAACAACACTTTCGCTGCGCTAAGAGATTCCGAATACTTGGGTAAGCTAAACTCTCTCTCTTCACCAAATCAAATTCTCACAGATCCGAACCCTCACGACCTAGTCCATCTACTTTCCTAAATTTCCCAAACAAGACAGATCTAAAATTACAAATCTCCTCCATTAAAGATCCTTAATGTTACGAAAACCGAATTTGAACAAGGGTTTAAGGGACTCGAAGCAACAAAAACCTTGAGCTGAGACAACAGATTACTGCAGGTATCGTAATCCTTCCTTACAAAGGCTGCTTTGAACACCTCGAACTGCTGCAAAATCTCCGTTAGCTGCGGATCCATCTCTCTCTCCCTTCAATCTCTCTCTCACCGGAGATGTATTCTTCTGATTTTCTCCGTGAACTGGCTTGGTTGCGAAGAAAGAAGGAAAAGAATCAGCTTTCTCACTGTGGGTCTGAAACAGGCCGATTTATATTATCCACCCGGTCCATCATACGGCCCAAAACTAGGCTCGTAGCGCACGTTAGCGTGTAGTTGACTAACATGCATCCTACGTGTAGAGCGCATCCCTCTCTTATCTACTATCCATACCCTTTACCGCTGTCGTGTTGCCTTCAAGTTCAAGCTCGTCAATGGAGACCATGACGGTGCCTTCGCTGGGTTCATCGAGATCCCCAATTTGCCCACAGTGTCTGCCCAAAATTTTATCTCTGCCACTCCTCTCTTTCTCCCACTCCCTTAGGCCATTCCCTTCCAATTCGAAACCCTTGGTGTCGCTCCACAAGAGAGGTAACCACCAATCTGTGCCTTTGACGGTGAAATTGCAAGCTTTGGATTTCTCGGGTTCGTTCTTTGAAGGCGGGTTCGGGTCCGACGATGACCCGGCTTCGCCTTCCGGGTCGGGTGTCGGAACGGCCCTCGAGGACAAGCCCGAACCCCAGTGCCCACCGGGGCTCAGGCAGTACGAAACGATGGCAGTCCTGAGACCCGACATGTCCGAAGATGAACGGCTTGGTCTTACCCAGAAGTACGAGGAGGTAATCCTACCGGGCTATTCGAAATTTTCTCGATTTATATTTTTGGTGGTCGAGAAAATGTGGGTAAATTGTTGGTTCTTCGAAGTCTGGAGTGAATGCCATTCATCTGGGTGGAAAGTGATACTATTTTGGGAATTGAATTTAAAATCTGGGAAGTTTTTGTTTAGAGGTTTGAGTGGAAATGAACAGAAGTCACAGATCCCAACTAAACTGAAAGTTCTGAAGCTGAGGAATATTCCTGGTGTTTGATGAGGCTTTTTGTGTTGCCTCAATGGTTGCATGGAAGTTGTTATTCGCAGTAGATCGCACTAGCAAGTAGCAATAAGGGGTCTTTTAGTTTATGACTGTTCTCAGCCTTGCTTTGTGATAAAACACCTGTGAAACTGTGGTCAATTGGGAACAACAATGGAGGAGACGCCACATCAATATCAATCAAAAAGAAAGAGAAAAAACTCTTCTTTTAAGTTTTTAACATTAGACTAGAATCTCTGCTGGTATGTTGACCAAAAAAAAACTATGCAACCCCAATTCTCAGTGGAGTGCATATGATATGGGGGTTTTGAGTGATTGTGTGGTTTAATAATGCAGTTGCTAGTGGCTGGTGGGGGAATGTATGTAGAAGTGTTCAACAGAGGAGTGATTCCGTTGGCATACAGCATCAGGAAGAAGAACAAGGCCGGAGAAACTAACACTTACTTGGACGGAATATACCTCCTCTTCACTTACTTCACCAAACCCGAGTCCATAGTTCCACTGGAGGCAGCCCTCAATGCAGATGACGATGTTATCCGCTCCTCCAGTTTCAAGATCAGGAAGAGGAAGTACTGATATTTATCCAAAAATTTCACCAAATACCTGTTTCTGTGGCTTTTGTCTCTTTGAGGAACTGAGTTAACCTCTCTCTGGATCTTGGTCTTGCTGTGTATTGTCATCGTGTTTGTATGTTCCATGGGTTTCACTCTGTTTTTCATGTGATAGAGAGAAATGAGGAAATATCTTTTGAGTGCAGCACAAGGCACCTACCCTTCGTGTGATGATAAGTAGACGATCTCACAGAACAGAATGCCAGGTTAATTTGATGAGGAGCTTGAGACTTTTGCCTAAGCGCAAACTGATAGACCACTTGGGATGGCATTAAAAAAAAATTGTTAATGGGCCTAGAACTAGGCCCATTAACAGCCCAATAGAGACCATTTCCCGCGTGTGAGACTCCCGACATCACGCTGACATAGTCACTGGGTCACACTCTCCTCATTTCCCACGAGGCCTTAGCCTCTAAGCAAACCCAATTTTTTTTCCACTATATATTAATATTATATACTAAAATATAGAAATTACAAAAATATGGCCAGAGTGCAAAAAAGAAAATAAAACAAAACTCAATTAATTGACCTTGTACAAGCAGCCACGTCATCTCCCACGTCCTCCCTGCCGCCATCGCCATCTCATTGGTTCACCTACGTTTGGAATTTTCTTTTTTTAACATTTTCCCTTCTCATAAAAAAAATCTTTGTTAAAAGAAAAGATATTCTTCCTCCGCTTTTTCCTAATTGAAAGATTTCTGCTCTGTTAAGAAACCCCGATTTAAACAATCTGGGTTTGTACCATAAAACCATCCCAAATGATATCTCACCTCCTTAACCTTCTTTTGTGCATTTTGCTGTTTTCTCACTGATTTAGGATTTTTTTTCCCCACAATGATCCCTTTTTGTCATTATCCACTTTGTCAAATTCACACGCAAGCTTTCAGCTGTTTCCAGGAAATTTCTTCATGATGTGTTCATCCACCCTCTAAAAAGCTTGACATCTCTTCCTCCTCCTCACTTTGTCTTCCCCCATCTCCCACTTCTTCAGTACTAAACTCTCAATTACTAAACAAAAAAACAATCCACCGAATTCTCTGCCACCCAGATAGCAAACTCGTCTTTCCTCGATTACCCAGATCGCAAAAACTATTTTTTCCGACTGCACAGGTCGCAGAATCGTGCTTTTCTGCGTGAAAAATGGAGAATAACCAGCAATCTTTCTGGCAGTTCAGCGACCAGTTGAGGTTGCAGACATCGAACATGGCCAATCTATCGCTCAACGACTCGATCTGGAGCTCAAACTACGTCTCGAAACGCCCCGACCAACGTAGAAACTTCGACATCACTGTCGGAGCCTCCGCTGAGAAGAATCCTCTGAAATCCGCAGACATCAACTGGAAGGTCGATCCCACTGCCAGAAACCTCAGCTTCGGTCCTGTCGGATCAAAACCCGTCAACGAAGCGAATCCGATGGATAAATTCAAAGCAAAAGCCACCGATTTCAATGACAACCTCTTCAACGAGGTCTGGAAGTTTAATCCTCCGATCAACGATTTGGCTTTCTGCCCGGCTGGTTCGAACTCGACCTTTGTGAACGGCGGATTCAACAAGGGGATATACTCGTCTTCCAAAATCTACGATTACAGCGCGAATCTGAAAGGGAACAGTAAGAACAAAGGGTTCGATGATGAACATGGGACGAAGAGCGGGAAAAGGAGCAACAAGAAGAATCATAACAAGAACGAAGATGGCGGTGGCGGCAAAGACAGCAAGAACAGCTCAGAGAAGAGATTCAAGACTCTGCCTCCCGCAGAGGCTTTGCCCAGGAACGAAACGATCGGTGGATACATATTCGTTTGCAATAACGAAACCATGGAAGAAAATCTCAAACGACAGCTTTTCGGTACCCATCTCTTTAATTTGATCCTTTTTACAGGGAAATGATTTTTAGATACGAAATCAGAAAGGGGTTGAATTGAATCATGGAATCTAATCGCGATTTGGTGCGATACATTGAACAGGATTGCCGCCGCGATACAGGGACTCGGTTCGGGCGATAACACCGGGACTTCCTCTCTTCCTTTACAACTACTCCACTCACCAACTCCACGGAATTTACGAGGTTTATTTTTCATTTTATTTATTTATTATATTATATTTCGTTTTTTTTTATTCCGAAATTGTACTTTTTCCCTTATGACGATGATGATATCTTTGCAGGCGGCGAGCTTCGGAGGAACCAACATCGATCCGAAAGCATGGGAAGACAAGAAATGCCCGGGCGAATCTCGATTCCCGGCCCAGGTGAGGGCAATAAGGAGGAAAGCGTGCGAGGCGCTGGAGGAAGACTCCTTCAGGCCGATACTGCACCACTACGACGGTCCCAAATTCCGACTCGAACTCAGCGTTCCCGAGGTATCAAATGATTCGATTAATAATAAAATTTATATATATATTTATAAGGTTTTAGGACACTGTAGTTATTAATATTTCAATGTGCATTTGCAGGCCCTTTCGTTGTTGGACGTTTTTTCTGAGCAAAACCCTTAAACCTACAAAGAAGAAGAAGAAGAAACAGTTATTTTTTGGACAAATATATATCAAAAGAGCATAGAGATATGAGTATAATTAAAAAACCCCTCCCTCTTTTTTTTTTTTTTTTGATAATGTAATTTTTTCAGATGTTCCCTGAGGATATGGGGAAAATATCCTCCTCTTTTTATTTCTTTCTTTTTTATAAAAAAAATGTGTGGTGTGTAAATTAAATAAAAGTTTCATAGAAACAAAAAGGAAATGCGGATGAAGCCCTCTTTATTTTTTCACACTATTATTCGTCTGTATACTCTTATTTTCTTTTATGTTATCAACATATGTATGAACTTGTGAGTCATGTTATTTAGATGTGCAAAGAAACATAACATGGCATAATCGGATATCATTTAATATTATGATTGGAAGCAAATAGGCCGGACTCTAGATTTTAAATCAAAATAACAACTTACAAATGATTATATATATATATATATATAAGAAAAAAAATGATCATTGGATCGATCGATCGAAGCGACCCGCTACCAACATGGGGAAACAAAAAACAAAAATACATTAGATTGAGGTTGAGGTGGTTTATCATTAGTCACGTTGTCCAAAAATATGAAATTTAAGATTACAGAAAACATTTAACCAGGGAAAGAAGGCAGAATAACAAAAGATGGGGCATGTGTCTGTCTCTAATTCGATCTTTTGCCCTCTGTCCATACCAAACAACCACTCTCCGTTAAAATGTCAAACAATATATATATATATATATTGAAACTTAATAATTAAAGGGTCAGTTAATTAGTCGATATCCATTATGAGAATAGAAGGCTTGTCCCTATTGCCAAATGGCCATGACGGTCCGTTTGTTTTGTTGATCTACTTTGATGTGTTCAATGGACCAACTTCTACAATTCTTTAATATAATTACAAAAAACTATTCCCTTTCTTAATTGAACTAAACCTATTCAAGCAATCGGGACAATGTATTTTTTATTTTTTGTACTGAAAAGATGGTTTAACTTTCCTCGTTGATTCTATATATTGTCTCTTTAAACGTCAGAATATATGTTTTAGACCATGGAAACAGAATAAAATAACAATAAATCAGATTATACACTTACTAAAAAGCAAACAAGAGTCGAGGGAATCGGTATCGCGTTCCTTAACCCCACCTAATACCATTTCTCTCTCTACCTCCCCTACGGGACAATTCTGAACCGTCCCACGTGCGAATTTGTTCGCTACAAAACTCCTGACCGGTCGGAAATAGAATATATAGATCTCCATGTAAATGGAGGAGCATTTACATATATAATAATATCATATTGTGTGATATCCTCGTTCAAAACAATATCGATATATATATATATATATATATAAAGATGGGATGTGCTTGCATGAAGCAAAGACGACGGACAAGGCACGACAAAACTTCAGTCCTCGCTTCTCAAACTTGCTGTAAGTTTGTACATGAACTCTCTTCTTCTACATACGCATGCATGCATGCACACACGTGAGCATGTCTTTTTTTTGCAAATTGAGCGTGCCTTCGGTTTGTAATAATCGATGTATATTGCATCAACTGCGATGAAATTATTTGAAAAAGGGAAGCATGAGTTAAGTAATTTAAATTATATATTACACTTTATACACACACACGTAATCCACTAAACATCTTTTTTATTTTTATTTTTATTGGCAGTTAGTAAACCTGAGATCGAAGCTTTACACGATCTCTACAAGAAAGTGAGCAGCTGCCTACGCAACGAAGACACGATAAGCAGAGTTGAGTCGATGTAATATAATAATAATCTTTATCATAAATTAATCTAAATCAAAATTTTTAAAACATGTTATTTGTGAAATGATCTGGATTTTGTAGGAAGATTTCCAGTTTTGTTTATTCAAGGATACAAGAAGGCGCAGCCTTTCAGCAGATCGTGTAAGAGAAAAAAACATTATGTTTGAGGCATTAATATCTTTAATTTCCATCTAAAACATTGATAAATTTGCATTATCATACCCAAACTTGGTTGGCCTAGTGGTGAGATAACACGCAAAGTATGTTTTTACCATGTGTTCAAATCCAAGCATGGGAACGGGGGCATTCACCTGGACTTCTCCGGTTTTCTGGGAAATGTAGTCGGGCCAAAACTCCGGTGAACTTCCGGATTATATAAAAAAAAAAACTTGCATTATCATGAATATGATTAACGTGGAAATTTGTAGATGCTCGCACACCATTAAAGGAAGGTATCGATTCATTGAAAGGAGAAAAAAAAAACAGCACATATGCTTTCTCTCTCTCTCTTTTTTTTTTTTTTAAAGGTTACAAATTAACTCGCTGATATTTTTTTCCATGGATCATTTAATGATAGTAATTAACCACCGGTGTTTCCGAATAATTCGTACAGGTTTTCCGGTTGTTCGATCTGAGGAACGACGGGGTTATAGATTTTGAAGAGTTTGTAAAGTCTCTCAACAGTTTTCACCCAAACGCACCTCAAAGAGACAAGGCCACGTGTACAAACTGTGATTAATTAATTATGCATTTTTATTTATTAATTTCTCAAATGTTTTATAACCATATATATATAATGCCCATCATGTGTGCGTATACTGTTGACACAGTTGCCTTTCGCTTATACGACACTCGTCACACGGGATTCATCGAGCCTGGAGAGGTACCCCAAACCTTCATCATCATCATCGTCGTCGTATCCATACGACGTATGTTCATACAATTGTTTGTTTACTCGTTTTTTTTTTTCATTTTCGAAGGTAAGAGATTTGATAATGGATCTTCTAGAAGAATCGAATCTGATACTCACGGAGAATGCCATTGACTCCATTATTGACAAGGTACAAAATTGCAAATTAGCATGTTTGTGATTTTGGGAATAATATTAACGATACATGTTTCAAAAACATTAATAAAATAAAAACGGTGGATGTTTCTATGTATAAGACATTCGAGGAAGCAGACTTTAAAAGAGACGGAAGAATCGATGTTGAGGAATGGGAAGTTCTGGTGGCTTCCAATCCTTCTTTGCTCAAGAACATGACCATCCCTTATTTGAGGTAACCCTTTCTTCTTTTTTTTTTTTTTTTGGACAACCAAACAAAAAAAGATTAGCCCAAGAGGATCAATGTGTGTGTGTTTTTTTAAACAAATTGCAGGGATGTTCCCATGGTTTTCCCGAGCTTTGTTCATAAACCAAATATGTACCTTTAATCTTTTTTTTGAAAAACCGAATAAAAACCCCAGGCCCGAATCCACGTGGCCCACACGAGGCAGAGTCCAATGATAATGTACCACGTGCCCCGTCCACCGTCCCTAACGGCTATCCGGCCGCATCTGACAAGTCGTGGCGCCTATTTCGATTTTTTAAAAATTGAAATGATTTCCATCGCTTTCTTCTGATGTACAGTAACTTATGGTAGTAAAAAAGAAAACAAATTCATTTTGTCTCTGCTTATATTCCTGATGGTTAAACATTTTTAATTACAACCACCGGCTGATTGACGAGGAAATTAGAGAATGACCTTCCAACAAACAACAACTCAATTGTACTGATTTGCGAAAAAGGTACGAGTAATCGCATCGATGTATAATAATAATAATAATAATAATAATAATAATAATAATAATAGAAGTATGTTGTTAAGGAATGCTGGGTTATAGGTGCATGAAGTGGCCACCCACTCTTTTCGAACATTATATTGTGAGTGTGACTCACAAAGTACACTTCACACCTATCATTCGTCCTTTTTTTTTAATGACGTTAAACTACTCCAAAGTACGCTTCATTTTGAAAAAAAAAATATCCCAAAAAATATTGGCTTTTTAGACCGCATAAATCCTATATATATATATATATATATATATATATAACCATACATTTTAAAATCGTAGGTTTAGAATTAAGATATTTGAACCTTTTAAGACATGGGTTTTTGCAGTATGGTGGTACTCATTCCATGTGCAACGGCGATATTCATGCATGGCATCTGATCGGTTGGATTTTCCAAGATAAACTTTCTCTAATCCTTCCTTAATTCCCATTAATTCTGTTTGTTTGCTTTGGCGATTAGGGAGCACACGTGTCTCTAATCTCACCGCACGTGCCAGGTCGCCGGCAAGCGACGTTACAGCAGCCACGTTCGGTCACCGAGGTGGCTTAATTAATTAATAGGGATTTGATTTATTTCCGATTGAAATAAATAAATTGTCGTTTTCAGGGAGGTTTGGAGTTGTCAATTCATACAATGCAATCTGATGTTCGTACATCATCATTTATGCTAAACATTAGACTGATTAATCTCTTTCAAGAAAAAAAATTCATTTAAATCTCATTTGTGATTTAAATTATATATTTGGTACTGATTCTTGTTACATATTTTTCTTGTCACAAAAGCAACAAGATGGCTAGAAATAGATATACCATTTTCATTGTTGTGTTTTTAACAACATGATTTGTTGTGTGATTCCACATCGGAAATTTTACGAATAAATTTTCATATAATTGATGGGTAATGATGCTTAAGAAATAACCTGTACAACAAAAATCGAAATTTCGCAAATAAATTAATAACAAACGGTCGTCAGAGTCAGTTAACGTCGTTAGTTTGCAATCTCCAAAAAAAGGCTCTGGAGCGCGTCTATATAAAGTAAACAGCTACTCCGTCAAAACTTCTCCTTCTTTAGCGTTCGTAGGATTTCTGTTTGCAGATCATCAGTTTTCGTCGTCGATATCATCGCTCCAAGAACAACCCGTCATCGAAGGTGTCGACCTCGGAGAAAATGTCGGGTTAGAGGTTCATCGATTTTCAAATTCATCGCACTCCTTTTGGTCATTTCGTGTTCTGATTCTTGTTCTCTCCCTCGATTTTCTGGTCTCATCAAGCCTAGATCATTTTCATGCATTTCTGCGTGATTCTTCTGATACGTTAGGGTGGAATCAGACGACCTGAAGGAGAAACCCAGGCATCTATAGGTTTTTTTTTTTGTCTTTGTGATGGTTCTCTTATTCGATTAGGTTTCAGGTTCTTCCGTGAGAATTTATATGGTGGATTAGTTTCCTTCGGATTTTGGATCGCTTGATCGGTTTCATGGACGGGTATCTCTTATGATACCCGTACAAGCAGAATCACATTTCTTCGTTTCTTAGAATCAGATCAGTTAGATTTTTGTGTGTGTTAGGAAATGTCTGTTGCTGATGTCGCTTTGAGCCCGATTCACAGAGGATTGGGGTTCTCTTCTGATCGCTTTGGCAACCAACCGAAACCCTACTCCGTCGAATCCATCTTAATATTCCTCAGTGTTTCGGGTTCTAGGATTCCAATGATAATTTTGGAGTCTGATTCTATAGCCAACGTAAAGCTTAGGATCCAAACGCGTAATGGGTTTGTGGTTAGGAGACAGAAACTAGTTTTCAGTGGCAGAGAGCTCGCAAGGAACAGTTCACTTTTGAAGGAATATGGCGTGACCGGTGGTAGCGTGTTGCATTTGGTGCTTAAACTTTCCGATTTACTCATTGTCACCGTGAGAACCACTTGCGGTGAGGTCTTCGAGTTTCATGTAGATCGTCATAGAGATGTCGGGTATCTGAAGAAACGGATCTCAAAAGAGGGAAAAGGATTTCCTCATGTTGATGATCAACAAATCTTTTGTAACGGGGAGAAGCTTGACGACCATAGGGTCATAGATGACATTTGCAAGGATGGGAATTCTGTAATCCATTTGCTGGTTAAGAGATCACTGAAATTAAAGGTTCCGGCTCTCACATCTGGGCAACCAGTGGCAAGAGAAGATGTTTTAATTGGTAGAGACTTCTTTTTAGAGCCAGTTATTGTAGATCCTGAGGTAAAATTACCGAAAGCTATAAGGGATATGATTAACCGCACGATTGACGGGTTAAATAAGGGAAATCCACCCATCAGGTCATCTGAGGGAACGGGAGGAACCTACCTCATGCCAGACTCTTCTGGTCTACATTATGTCTCTGTCTTCAAGCCTGTGGATGAAGAACCAATGGCTGTGAACAACCCGCAACAGCTGCCTGTGTCATCAGATGGTCAAGGGTTGAAGAGAGGTACAAGAGTAGGGGAAGGGGCGTTGAGAGAAGTTGCAGCTTACATATTAGATCATCCCAAAGGCGGGCCGAGAACGTTGTCTAACGAGTTTGTGGGGTTTGCCGGCGTACCACCAACTGTTATGGTCAGAAGCTTACATAGAGGGTATAATTACCCCCGGGGATTTGAGATTTCTATGAGAAATGCCAAAATTGGCTCTCTGCAGATATTCATGAAGAACAATGGCAGCTGTGAGGATATCGGCCCTGGGGCTTTTCCCGTGGAACAAGTGCATAAGATCTGTGCCTTTGATATAAGGTTGGCAAATGCAGATCGGCACGCGGGAAACATACTAATTGGAAAAGATGAAGAAGGGCAGGCTGTTCTTATTCCCATTGACCATGGCTACTGCTTGCCTGAAAACGTAAGTCTCAGCATTGTGATACATGTTTTTACTATGCAACATTTTGATTTGAACATCCATTTCTGGATCTTAACTGAATGATCGATTAATTCTCATGGTGCAGTTTGAGGACTGCACATTCGACTGGCTCTACTGGCCTCAAGCAAAAGAGCCGTTTTCCGCCGATACCCTAAACTACATAGACTCTCTAGACTCTGAACAAGACATCGCCCTCCTAAGACTCCATGGTTGGGACGTCCCCAAGAGTGTATCCCGCACACTGCACATCTCCACCATGCTTCTGAAAAAAGGGGCTGAGAGAAATCTGACTCCATATCAGATCGGATCCATCATGTGCAGAGAGACAGTGAACAAAGGTTCAGCCATCGAGGAGATCGTCTGTGAGGCCCAGAAATGGTTGCTGCCCGGCATGAGTGAGGCTGCGTTTATGGAAGCCGTCTCTAAGGTCATGGATGGACGTCTGGACGAGCTAACCAAGTAAGAGGTCTTCTTAACATAGTGAAGATTGGGGAATTTTTATAAAAGGGTACATAGAGTTGCTTGGATGTATGTATGTATGTATGTATGTATCTATCTATCTATCTATGCCGACGGGTTTTCTTGGTTTTTTTTAATCCTCCATGAAAGCTTGAAGCTTTGTCTGTTTTCTGTTTTTTTTTTGTTTGACTTGTCGTATGTCAAACCCTGAACCTGTGGGTTTAAGGCGTTTGAGCAGCGAGAGAGAAACTCTATGAAGATGATCTGATGGCTTGTATAGCTTTTTTCATGTTGCAGTGTCGTACTTAACAGGGGCATTATCAAAAATACCCTTAAAATGCTACTTCTACTTCAAGACCTACCCTGGTCACATGTGACCAATGTGACCGAAATATAGTATGGTCACATTTTGATTTTTATCGATTATAACGTTAAATTTATGGTGATCACACTAATTCATTATGTTCATACCTTGTATATCTTACTAATCATTTGATTAAAACATCATAAATTTAACGTTATGAACAATGAGATCAATATGTGACCACACTATATTTCGATCACATTGGTCACATGGTCACAAGGGTAGGTGTTGAAGTTGAAGTAGCATTTTAAGGGTATTTTTGATATAATGCCTACTTAACAACTAGGTTTGGTGGTTAGGTAATATAGCTGGTGCTGGTCTGCTAAAAACGGGCCTAACAGTCCATTATACCATTCGGCCTGCTAAATGTTGTGGGCTTGACCCAAAGGGTGGGCTACTGTTAAACCCAAACCGGTTGAATCTGTGAGTTGGGCCCAACAAATGTGTGACAGTGACTGTCTTGATAGGCAAACAAAAACTGATCAGACAGCTGTAAGAGGACGGGGAAACAAAAGAGTAGCATCAAAGCTCTCAATGGACCGTCTACAAAGAAATGGGTCATCCAATACTTAGAATTAATTAACCAAAGTTAAAACATTGCATCACCCATACAAGCGTACGTGTATATCCAAGTATTTAGCACCGTATTCGAATTAGGTCTACTGAAATACGCGGACTCCAAAAAAATCAAAAAGAGAAATGCTCCTCCTTTCACTGAGTGTATGATTCCCTTATTTCACTTTCTCTCTCTGTCCCGGTGCCCAATCACTCCCTTTCTTCATCTCTTCTGCAATGGTGAAGCCTAACTGCCGTCGGCCTCCGCCGTCAGGCCGTACGAATCTGGCCTCCTGCGTGGTCGCCATTATCTTCTTGCTCTTCATACTCATTGTAGTCCTCGTCGTCTACTTCACCGTCTTCAAACCCAAAGACCCCAAGATCTCCGTTAACGCCGTCCAGCTCCCCTCATTCGCCGTCTCCAACAACACCGCCAACTTTACCTTCTCCCAGTACGTCTCCGTCAGAAACCCTAACCGCGCCGTCTTCTCTCACTACGACAGCTCCATCCAGCTCCTCTATTCGGGTCGTCAAGTCGGGTTCATGTTCATACCCGCCGGTAAAATCGAACCGGGAAGGATCCAGTACATGGCGGCCACCTTCCCCGTCAGCTCCTTCTCTCTCTCCCCTCCTTCCTTCGCCGTCCCCGCCATCTCCGCCGGCTCCTGGCCTCCTGCGTGGTCGCCATTATCTTCTTGCTCTTCATACTCATTGTAGTCCTCGTCGTCTACTTCACCGTCTTCAAACCCAAAGACCCCAAGATCTCCGTTAACGCCGTCCAGCTCCCCTCATTCGCCGTCTCCAACAACACCGCCAACTTTACCTTCTCCCAGTACGTCTCCGTCAGAAACCCTAACCGCGCCGTCTTCTCTCACTACGACAGCTCCATCCAGCTCCTCTATTCGGGTCGTCAAGTCGGGTTCATGTTCATACCCGCCGGTAAAATCGAACCGGGAAGGATCCAGTACATGGCGGCCACCTTCACCGTCAGCTCCTTCTCTCTCTCCCCTCCTTCCTTCGCCGTCCCCGCCATCTCCGCCGTCTCCGCCGCCGCTGAAATTCCGGGTGACCAAGATTCGCCGGTTTTTCAAAACCCGGGTCCTCCCCATTACCCGGGATCACCGAGCATGCCCGGCTTTCAAGGCAATCCGGGTTCTCCGAGAAATCCGGGTATACCCGGTTTTCAAGGGAATCCGGGTCCGGGTGGTCAGGGAAATCCGGGGTTTCCGGGTCCGCCGGGATATCCGAGAATGCCAGGTTTGCCGCCGGCGGGATTAGGAGGGTCGGGTCCGAATCTGGGAGATGGGTATGCGGATCCGGGTTTGGGGTTTGGGTACGGGAACCGGGTGGGGCCGACGATGGAGATAGAATCGAAAATGGAGTTAGCGGGTCAGGTCAGGGTTTTGCATGTCTTCACTCATCACGTGGTGGCGAAATCTGGTTGTCGGGTAACCGTGTCCGTCTCTGGTGGATCCGTCTTGGGCTTCCATTGCTGATTTCACTAATACCATTATTATTATTATTATTATTATTATTATCTTTTTTTCTCATTTTTCTTCTTTCCTAGTCCTAGTATTTTTTTTTTCTTCATGGGTCTTCGAAAATTATTTGTAGGAAACTGTAAAAATGGCTTCTTTCTATGTATTTCCCCAGCCCCAGCTCGGAGTAAGCCACCATTTTCTTATCTGTTCTTCAAGGAAGATGACGATGACAACTTTTTTTTTTTGGTAACGAGGAAGATGACAACTTTCTTTAAGAGATGGGAGTTTCCTTTATGTTCTTTACGGAAGTTGACGCTAGAATTTGTACAATGAAAGTGCTCTATTTGCTGCTACAACTAAGAAAAGAAAAGCAAGTAATTGAATTGCCTTTGCCTTTGCTTTTGCTTTGTCTCTGCTCCGTGTTCGATTAATTGACTTGGGAGTAAAGTTGGATGCTTTTGCATATAATTAGGATCTCTGAGTTTGTGTTTAATAACAAAGGTCCGACACGAGAATATACGGATACGGTGGTTCTTGTGATATTTGTTTTTCTAATGACATGTTAATCCTTCTCTTTTGGCAATTTTTTTCTTATTATAGGAACAAACAGTTTATTGAATCATTTACGTAACATGTTAATATTTGTTTTGTAATCAATTGCTATATTTGTTATGGATTGTTTCTAGCTTTTTATGTATCTTGGACACTAAAAACATACTATATTTATTGTAGTTGTTCTAGTTTCCGTATAATAAATAGCATAAATTGAAGAGGTGCCAGTACGAGCACCTCCAACCTATTTCTAAAGGCATGAAAATCTATTTAAACCCTATATGTTAAATAGAGAAATATGTGTTTTTATTTCTAATTTCAAGGAGTCAAAGGACTAGAGGAATCTAGAAGAAATAATTTTTTTTTTATATGAAAATAAAATAATTTGATTCTCTCATAATGCAATCTTCCACTATCCTCGAGATCTGTGTTTTTCTTTATTTCAATCATTTATTTTTTTCTCACAATTTTCTTCATTTCGACATAAAGAGAGTGGTCAAAATGCGATATCAATATATTTGAACATAAGAAATCCAAAAAAAAAAATTAAAAAACATGTTGGGCAGTGCTTAACGTAGCGCATTTATTTAGTTCTCCGAGAAGCTCTATTTATTGACATTTGTCGCAAGATATAAAACGACATTATAATTAATACTAGTGATAAATTAATATGTATATATATATATATATATATATATATTTGGTAAATAAATTAATATACATTAACGTAAGAAATATTAAAGACGGGTGGGTGCCGCCAGTGGAACTGTCGGAATCTTCGTCTCCGGCAACGGAGCATAATAATACTTGTGCAAAACAACACAAATTTATTTACATAAAAGATATAAAGAACACATGTCACGTACAACAAACCATGAAACCAAACTAAAAAGTTCTAAAAATGAACCAATGCCGGTTTAATCCGCTTTGGTATGAACTTGTAAGAGATTGAATTCACTGTTTGTTGTTATGCAAGTAAACCTTTGAAACCAACTCTTGATCATCTCTCCACCATTGGTGCAAACCATGAGCTTCCTTGAAATCATCTGAACCGGTTCGGTTTATGGTTAGCTTAGCCGATGGAATTACATGAACCGGTTCTTCCACCTCCATTGTCTTCTCCATTCCCATCGCTCCCATCACCAATCCTCCAAATGAATGCTTCATCGCCACCCTTTCTATCCTCCCTGCTCCTATCCCTTCCATTATTCCCCTGTGCTCGAAAAACCCGATATACTCCGAACATAGATGATCCCCAGGATTCACATATATGCAAGGAATCCATAATGATAGCACCTGATGGGGAATTCAGACCGATATTAACATCAATCCGACAAGTTCTTTGCTATATTATAATATCAATACCTCAAAAGGATCTTCAGACAGGTTCTGATATAGTTGCAACAGTTGCTGCTGTTTGAGGTTCCTGGCAAGCGCAAGTCCTGCTGTGATGACACTGCCTGCGATTCTAATCCCGTTCCTAACCCGCTCGTTTGCTATCCTCTCGATCGGGGGAGCAACAAATGGAGGGTTGAATATAAACGAGCTGATATATGTACCAGTCTTGGCCAGAGTCTTGCCCGCGAGGAGCGCCATAGCAGCGCCTAGAGAATGTCCAGCTAGCCAGAGCCTTGAGGCACCAACCGAAGCAGCCATGTTTCTGACCGCTTGTAGAGCAATCTCGAACCGGGATGTCTGGTGGAGTCCATTTCGTAAGATATGGATGTCCAGCTCAATGTCACGGGATACTGAATCGAATTTGGTAAGGGTCCCCCTGAAGGCTATAACATATACTGGGGCTTGTGAGTCAATGCGCTCGCCTTCGTTTGGCGGTGAAGATTGTGGAGGTTTGAACTCGTAAATGCCGCCAAATATGGAGAAATCAGCATCGTCTTTGAGGTGACGGATCAACTTGAAGTTGAAGAATTCCCACCAGGGAGATGCAAGAGCTTGCGATTCCTCGCGTTTAAGCTGACGGTCCCGCTCTGCTATATATATACCCTGAACCAAACAAGCTGCTACAGAACGCTGGTGATGTTCATTTGCCCTGAACGTCGGAAAACAGCAAAGTCATAAAACAGATCATAAAAGTGTGTCTAACTAAGATCCTTCCGGCTGATGCAATGTCCTAGACAAAAATCCTAATTGCCAAAGTTGTCATCTTTGCTGAACTAAGATTCAGAAAACAAACAGGCCTTTGGATCATTCCTCTTGGAAGCAATGAGTGGATGTGTCTAAACTCAGAATTTGCCAGTCAAGTTCCAATATATTTGAAAATATGGATCATTTGATAGCAATAGGAAATGGAAGCGCGATTCGGAATTAAGGGATCACCAATAACCCGCTCTCACAGAGTGCAAAAGCGAAGGAACATACCAGTCGACATCTGTAAGATGTAAGGGTCCACAGAGGTTAAACTCTTCTCTGTCTGAGGCCATTGCATCAAAAAGCAGTTCCTTAAAACGTTCTTCAAGGCGACCTCTATCTGCATCACAACATTAAAAGAAAAAAACGATCGTTGTTCCTTGAAAGATAGGCTACAAAACTTTTGGAATTCCGCAGGGAAAAACTTTTGGACTATGGCGGTTGTTTCAGGACATGACGCAAACATCCAAAACCCTAAATTAGCTCAAGATCCTAAATAAAGCTTTCAATCATTGATAACTGGGACAAGAAATTTGCAATTTCCAGGATTTTGATTCACGATTGGTCCTGACAGCAACAGAAATGAAGATAAACCAGTATTGTTCCTTAACGAAGAGCACGAATCAAATCAATCCGACATTTTCTTCCATTTTCTTCATCTCAATCTGACTTCCGAAACGACCAAAAAAAAAAAACATCAAGCAAATTTCCGGATGGATACATGCACTGCGTATAAATCCACCTTTACGCTTGCGATTAATCGTGTCAAATGTGAAATCGAATTCAAGGAAACAAAAATTAAATCAACGAAAATAACATATAAAATTGAAGGAAAACAAAATTAATTGGAACAGATACCTTGGCCAGGATCGAAGCAACTAGAATTGTGCAATCATATCATATCCTGCAACAAGTGTTCTCTGTCCTCCCAGGGAGACAGACAGGGCAATGCTTTATGCCATTTTAAAACTGCGTTCTGCACTCCCGAATGGAAAACGACATCGTTTGGTTGTCGTCATCACCGGCATAAATCTCTATTGGGCCTTTTACATTTAGTCTGGATTGTTTTTTGGGCAGGCTTTATTCTTGCACCAATTTCCTTTATTTTATTTTTTTTATTCTAAATGCTTAAATTTCGAATTAAATAACAATTTAAAGCGCAATTGATCGAATCGAAATAATAGATATTTTTTTTTTGAAACTAGCATGTTGGATTTTATTGAAATCCCATTACAGTTAAGATGTCTTAATTTGATATGGCTCCAAGTTTCCAATTACTTTGATTACATTCATGTTTTTCTGTTGTACTAAAACTTTTTCATTTTAATGGATCCAACAACTGGCGGGAATCTATATTAAAGTATCAACAGCAAAAACATAAAAAGAAGAAAATCAATAGTATTTTATTAGTATTACAAACAAAGAGACGACACAAACAGAGAAATGTAACAAACGGCTATATAAAACGACACGGTGTGGTGTCGTCGTCTTCCCGGGAACACCCATCTCACACAAAAAACGACACCTCATCCCACAACCAAACAGATCTGATGAACCGACCAAACCGGTGGGTTTATCTCGGTTTCACTTGGACCACGCCACAGCATCGATCTCGGATTGAGCAGCCCGGTATAGCTCGAGCCGTTTCGAGAGAGCGCTGCGTCTCTCCATGACCGCGGGATCTTCGTTCAACAGGGCCGAGAGTCTCTTCGCCTGTAGGAAAGATATTCACAAAGTTGCCACTTAATTTGTCTCACTTCTCGCAATTCGACGCAAGTTTAGAAAACGTGCAAAAACATCCACTAGCTTTTGTTTCAAAACAAAATTTGTTAAGGGGAGAAAGAGCTTACGTCCATGGTGCCAAGTTCGGCGAAGAAGTGGTCGAGGAGGCTGCGTTTCGCTTCTCGGACTTGGCAGTACACAATTGACTTGGGGATTGAGTGACGCAGACTGGCACAGACCATGTTCACGTATGACAGCACGTTCGATCCTTTCGGAAAAAAACGCAAAGAATGACAAATCGACAATATTAGAGATTAATAGCTAATTCTTGATGAAAGAGTTAGATGGATGGATGGATGGATGCTTACCAATGCGTCTGAGATAAGAATCATTGTAGCGGTCGAAAATAGAGTGAGTTGGGTTACCGCCCTTCTCTACGTCCTGAGGTAGTTTCCGGAAGAAATCAACGGTGAGGTAACCAGTCTCCATGTCCACCAGCTGCAGTGTTGCTTTCTTACTCCCTTCTTTCATTCTGTCAAGCGACTCAATTGCCGCATTCGTAACCTCGACTCTAAGAGCCGGGTATTGCTTTAGTTCCTGCAAAATAACATCATCTAGGGGACTATAGTCCTAAACAGAAGAGATCGCATTTTTTTAACAAGAAAAAGAGAGTACTATGTACCAGGGTCTCGCTGACAGCCTTGTGAACCAGATCCTTCAAAATTGCATGAACCTAAAAAAACAAACCAAACCCACAAAACCAAACATGAGATACAGCTTATTTGTTTTATATAGTTCTTGAAATCGTATATATTAAAGAAAAAGAGACGAACAGTGTCAACAGAAGCTTCGGCAGGGCCGCGGATGGTGATGACGGAGGACTCGATGAGACGTCTGTAACCTTGCTCAGGAGCAATCAAGTGAGGTTGGTAACCATCTGCCTCAGTCACAAGCTTTCGGATGTTGTCCATTGACAGCTGCTTGTCGAACTGGAGTCTCTTCAGAGCTGCCGGAAGCTGGTTATCAAATACGTTATATACCTTCTCCCCACCAGGTCGCCTGTGTAATTCGAAACAATACAGAGGACATGTTATTAAACATTGACGAGGTTATAGTAGAGATGGCATATTCTCCGGTTACGGTAAACTTTAATATAAAGGATGTTCGATAGAAGATATTATTTAAAACATACACTCCATCAAGATGCTCCTTGAATATTTGATCAAAAAGCCGACAAATCTCCATGATTGAGTACAACTTTCCCTGCACCAGAGCAACATTAACAATCAAAAGTGTTCATCAAATCAATCACAACACTAAGGAGAAAGGGAAAGA